TTTCACCAAATTACCAATCAATCCTTGAGGTTAGGTCAAATTACATTCACCCCTCATAACTAATGGCATCTTTATTTTACCGCTAGATTCTGGGGAATGACAAAATAGCCCTTCACCCAAATGCGTTGACAACTAGCCAAGTTTCATTGGAAGAACCGGAGAAGAAAATGGGGAGTCAAAGGAAATAAAAAAATGTACAAAAAAAGAGAAGAATATTAATAAAGAAAAAAAACTATATGCTTTTTCCGCAAAAATAAAGCAAAGAATAATGCCTTCCCACCTTATATCTTTGTTGTAAAAGGAAAAAGAAAGAGAAAACAAAACAAAAAAAGGAAGAAATACATTACCAATGACCTTCTCAATATATTTTCTAGTTCGAATTAGTAAAATATTATCGGTTACCAATCAATCTAAAATTGCTGGAAGTACATCTCAAAATGTGTCTTAATTTTTTTTGGCTCAAAGAATATTTAACTTGCATTTTGCATAGATTGATGCTCAATCTTAATTTATGATATGATTGCATCAAATAAAGCATTGTAGTTTATTTTTAGAAACTTATCGGAGTTTTTGACCTCGAATCAATCTTTCTTCCAATAGTTTTTCCTGTTTCTTCTTCTGCTTCCTAATTTTGTCACTTTATGGCCAAACAAATACGAAAATCATCTAAGGCACTGACCAACGTAAATTACAAGTGAGCTCACTTTTGAAATTAAAGGCAGAAAAAATAATTATAATTAAAATTAATAATTGAAGTTAGGGATGAATTAGATAGCATGATGAAAGATCTCTCACTTACATTAAAAAAAATAATGAAATCACGCTTTTTCTTTTTTCTTGTTTTGTTGCCAAAAAAAATTATCACGTACGTCCTGGTGCATGGTTGTCATATCAATTACTGTACTAGGCACGGGAGAAAATGTGCTACACGATTGGATGTTAAACGACAGAATTTAATATTCCAAATACTCCAAGTGTGAATCCTGGAAGATAGACAATTTGGTCCGAACTCATTGTTGGATGGTTCCTTTTAATTTCTCAAAAGAAAAATTTCATGACTTGTGAGTCAAGTCGTTGCCCTATGATGTAACTGATGGTTGGTTTTTCTTTGAGTCAAGTCGTTGCCAATTTCAGGAGGTGACAACTCATAGAAGCGATAGCTACCAAGCAAGATTGGCAATTTGGTCCAAGTCCGTTGGGTGGTTCTTTTATTTTCCATCACGCAAGTGTTGAAGATTTTAAGAAGATTGGTAGATTGTGATTTATATTTCATTACATTTATACGTTTGCGATTTTTAGTTGATATTTGGCTGCATGGACACTTTCTTGCGAAGTGTGAATCGACTTAGAATAATTGATTTGTTTGAAAGGGATAGGGTTAAATGCAGAAAACCTCCACGAATTATTAAACTAATTACATGTAAAATTTGTAGATGTTGTATTTAATATTACCAATTTGCTAGATATGGACTCTAGAATATATGCACAAAAAATAATTTACGTTATTGCTGCACGTCTATTATATAATATCTTGTGAGATGCTACAAATTTTTCTACATTTCTACCTACGGAAGTGCTTTCTCCGCACTGTTCGTCAGTGCTTAAATTCATTCACCAAAAAGTTGCAGGACCAGATAATACGCAAATCTTCTTTGAAGTTCATCAACTGAGGCCACCTCTGTCAATGAGATTTTTCTGCACAAGCATTATTTTTTTGATTGGAAGTTTCCAATCATTTCTACGTACTCTTGAGACAAAAAAATCATTTGAATCTTAGATGTTTGTATTATTTTGCTCTAAATCTTTTATAAAATCAAATGAAAACAAACAAACTTGGATACATGCACGGTGTGGAGAATCAAAATTACCAATACATGATAACTGTCTTCCAAAATATGGAAAAACATTCAAGATAATTGAACTAAAAGAATGCAACAATTTAGGACAATTAATGTCAACAACATTTGCTTCAAGTTTAATTCGGGAAATATTGTCCATTTTAACATTTGGGAACTCTTTGTTTTGGGGAAACAATTGTAAAGTTCTATTTTGGTTAGTTGTCAATTGTTATCATGTACATCATGCACTAATGATGCAAAAATTGGGTTGGCATGTTTTCTGTTCTAAGGCCTGTGATATCGTCAGTTATGAGCAACCTTCTGAATTTAAAATCTAGGTTAATCGGGCTTTGTAAAGTGCAGTTTTGAGGCCCAAAAAAATATGTACTGTTTAATTGTTATTATCGACATGTAATTAAGAAAAGTGATTAAAATTCCTTTTTTTTTTTCTTCCTAGCGGGAAGAGTGGAATATAAGAAATAAGGTGGGAGAAGGGGAGTAAAATTTAGGACCTCTAGTGGTCAGGTTTCAACTTTAACTACTAGATCAAGATTTCATTGGCAAAAGTAATCAAATACTTATATATTAATGTTGTCAACTATTTGGTGATGTATCCAAATTGCTATCTTTTAGATGGTGGAACCCAAAATAAACAATTTAGTACGAAACATTTATGCAAAAGAGAAATTTAATAATGCTACTCCACTGGTTCCTTGTTCTTCGAAACATATATATATATATATATATATATATATATATATATAAAGATGACGGAGTGTCGTTAAGAAATGTTGGTACACCATTAATTATTATTAACTATAGATTTGCAATATATAAAGGATATGCAAATAAATACAAATACGTAGTCTAAATTCACAATTCCTATGAAATGCTTAAAGATGAACGAAATGTTTGCTTACGTAGTGCAAATCATCACTTTGCCTTTAATGGTGCATGATTGTCCAAGTATCCATCTACTTTTAAGTGATTCTGCCTTTTTTGTTTTTATTTTTTTGGATTTTTTTTCCAGGCAGCATGTCTTCTTTGGATTTTTTTTTTTTTTATTCTAACGTTAGGCCTGCTCTTTTTTGTTTTTCCTGTTCAGGCTTTTTACTATACTAAATCTTGATATTAAATTTTTATCATTTTAAACATAATTTCTTTCCAATTGCTCGATCCTTTTAGACATCTCGTTGACATCACAACCTCAAAATTTTCTTTAAGAACATGGCTGAAACTCAATTGACGAAAATAAAGAAGAATGGGGCTAAAGAAGAGAATAATCAAAGTCTCCTTAACAACTCTACATTCTCCACCATAACCACCGTCATCAATCCACCATCATGATTATCATATTCTTTTCTCCTCTTTTTTCACTTGCTTCAATTTTAAATTCTCCCCCCCCCTTTTTTCCTTGTGTTGAGTTTTGTCGGATCTAAGATTGGAGTATGTGATTGATAAGCATTGAAGTTCATTGTAGAATTTTATTGAGTATGGACCAAGGATTGATTCCTCCAATGGGTAGCCTATTTTTGAACCCCATTTGGTTTTATGTGGCATCGAATTGTGATTTTATCTTGTAATGTTTCAGTAGTTTGTGCTGATTTCTTGCTATATCTATCTTCTTCTCATCATAAGGATCAAATTCAATATAAATTTCATAAGATTGGTTGTTATTTGAGTGATATGAGAAGGAGCAACCACTGTTTTCAATTTATATCGCTGTTCTCCAATAGTTTCTGGTTGCATCTGATGCCTAAACAGTGTTCTATGCAAGAAAACGAATTTAAAGGAGGTGGACATTGGTACCTTGGGTGGCCGTCTTTAACCTGTTGGCTGCCATGGCTGATGCCCTTGAAAGCTCTTGAAGAAGGCAGAAAATAAAAGAAAGAAGGAATAGGAAATTAAATTCAAAAAAAAAAAGATGGAAAATGAAGGATGAAGTACTGGTTTTTAAGAGTGGGTATTTTGGGGCTTGCATGACATTTTTGGTTGACATCATCAAGACTAGCCGTCAAAAGTTTGTTGACTAACGGTGAGGGGATTTTTTTATAATTTTTTGAGTTTGAGGGTTCATTTTGTTATTTGGCAAAACCTCAGGAATTGATATGTAGTTAGGCCAAACCTCAAAGGAAGTAAATGTAATTAACCCTAACATTTTTTGTGATGCATTACTTTGTAAATAAAATAATATTTATATCCAAACACATCCAATATCTTTGTTTCATCTTTTAGCTATCCTAAAGATATGGTACTATTGCTGAGTAGCTAATTCTAAAAAAACTTGATACGCAATTAAATTTGTATGACTATTTTAATTAATCTCTTAGTGGATGCAAGCAAAAAAGAAGGAAACAAGAACGAAGGAAGATATAACAAGTGAAGATAAAAAGAACCAAAATAAGAAGCTTCTATGTTTTTTTTTTTTTTTGTGTGAATAAAGAAAAAAGAAGCAAAAGATAAAAAAAAAAAATGGAAATAGGAAGAATTAAAAATGGAGAACAGGAGAAATCAGAAAATGAAAACGAAGAAGATGAACTCTATGCAAAAAGCATGAAAGGGGGAATTCAAAACTTATACTGATACTCTTAACTTTTGTGATATTTCATTTTGACGCGTGGATATTTTGGGGCAACAAAAATGCTCTTATGCATTTTCCGTAACTTCAATTGTGGAATTCAAAAATGACAGAATTCTTTAATTGCATGTTTAATTTTTATTATTTTGAATAATCTCACCAATATCACTAACATTAATATCTTAAATCGTGCACAGAAGTAGTGATCACTTTTGAGCTGCAGGATCCACAGTTCAGTAGACGATGGCACATTTTGATTATATAGTCGTCTTTCTTTGATTATTAGAACAACCCAAGGAAAACTTGTGTTTTCTACTGGCATTTGGTAGGATTCAGACTAGCTTGTCTTTCATGGATCTTTTAGTACTAATTTCTTAAATTGATGAAGGGTGGTAACCTTGTTTGCAGCTCTCAAAAAATTAATTTTGAAGTAAAGAAAGGTTGGCAGAATGGGAACGTTCTGTTCCTTGGTATAATTGTTTAGTAAATGACAAGTCATACTTTTATGATGTTCATTTGATTTCGATGGGAAAAGAATAAAACTTTAAAAACCGATTCGTCAACCTTATGTGTCATCTGGGTGCATGGGTGCACCTCCGCAGAATGGGAACGGTCTGTTCCTTGGTACAATGGTGCTGCTTTGTTATTCGGTCTGAATCCTTAGCTACTTCTTATCCAAGTATACAATCTGAAAGACCGTCTGTGCTCCTGTTCTTTAACAGAGCACAAGGGAAACAGCGCATGCCATCAGGAAGCTGCCTTTAGCCAAGGCTAAGAGGTACTTGGAGGATGTTTTGGCCCATATGCAGGCGTTTGCCCGTTTCTGTGGAGGTGTTGGGCGTACTGCTCAGGCCAAGAACAGGCATTCAAATGGACTGGGTCGCTGGCCTGTTAAATCTGCTAGCTTCATTTTGGATTTGCTCAAGAATGCTGAAAGCAATGCAGAGGTTTGTCCATGCACCCAGAAGTTGTAATCTAAATTTCTTTGTTTTGTACAACTTTGGCAGCGGTTATTTTATCCTGCAGGTGAAAGGCTTGGATGTGGATTCACTTTTCATATCTCACATTCAAGTGAATCAAGCACAGAAACAAAGACGCCGCACATATCGTGCCCATGGAAAAATAAACCGTATGTCTGATAGATGACTTTTTTCAATTTTCTGTTCTGTCCATTATGTCCATTAACCTCAATGTATGATCTTTTGGGCCAGCCTACATGTCTTCCCCCTGCCATATTGAGTTGATTTTGTCTGAGAAGGAAGAGTCTGTCAAAAAGGAGGTAATACATACGTGGTTATATCTTCTTGTTGTCTGTAATTTCTGGAGTGTTTCTCTTCGTGTCTAAATTTTTTTCCTTATATTTTACAGCCTGAATCACAGTTGGCCACCAGCAAATCTAGGAAGGCTTAAGCTATATGTAATGGTGCTTTCATTGGCAATGGCTTTAGTGGATTCTACAAATTTTGAGGCATATTTTTACTTAATGCTATCGGAGGTTGCAAGACAAGTTTTGCTAGTGTTTAAATTCAAAAAGTTCATTCAAAGACATACTTGTAGAGACAGCTTTTTGTTCTTCATGATTGTCGTCTGGCTTTTTTTGGGTTGGATGTTGTGGTGGTGTTGGATTATTTATCAAGCTGCACTTACCGGCTGTCTCTATTATGCTGTCACACCCCTAGGACATGGCAATTTGTTTAGGTGCTGGAAGAACTTTGCATGGAAGATTGTTTTGAGCGATCAAATTACTACAGCAACTCGGGTCTTAACTTACAATAAATTAGTTGGTAGCTGTTATGGACTTGTAGCTTAAAATTTAATTGCCTAGTTGTCTCCTTGATCCTGACTCTTAGAACAAAATATGAATTTATCAATTCAAACCAATTATGAGCCAAAAGGGTCGGTGATGCATTTTAACTGGAGGTTCTTTTATGATGCCATTCTAGAGGTAAGAAGGTAACATTGAGGGAAAAAATTTGCTAAAATATGCTTTTAATATTTTGAATTTACTTTAATCTCAAATGACTAAATAATTGTTGAACATGTAAAACATTGGCATCCATCTTTCTTGAAAAATAGAAAAAAAAAAAAAAAGGGTGTGGGCTAAGTCAGATTAGATGATAGTTCATGCATCTTCTCTTCCAAAAATGAGGCATTTTGCATCTCCATTGTGTTTGAATGTTTTATTACTCAAATTAGTCTGCTTGCATATTTTTAATTGTACCAGTCCCTTGTTGGCCTCCGATTATTATAACAGATTGAAGGGTTAATTAGTGTATATTTTTTTCTAGTTAAAAACTACATTTGTGTTATAAGGAGAAAGATCTTCCAAAGCTAATGCTCTAGCTGTGTGTTGCGTAATTCGTTGCCGGGTCGTCACTGCATTTTGTGCATGCTTTTGACCTTTTTTTTTCTTTTGCCCGTGCAAGAAATTTTTGTGTTTGGCTACATGCCAAGTTCCTCTACAAAATGGAAGTGGAAATATCTTATTTATACTTTATTATTTTACTATGAGATGAAGCATACATCCTAGATGAAGTGTCATGACATTACAACTATATAATTTGATGATACATGTAAAATCACTCAATTAAACTTCCTTTTTAGCAATGCAATTTGTACCCATACTTTATTCAACAAGCTCTCCAGAAATTCGAAGTATGCATAGCGCCATGACTCTTTGAAACATAGGACGCTGAAGAATCCCAAGAGTCCAACAGCAAAACCAGGTCCCAAACCAGCATAAAACCAATCAAAATAAGACTCCTTGCCATCCTCATGATCACCATCAGATTCTCCGGCATTTGATTTACCATCAGGGCAGCTTCTGTCTAGCGGTTCACCACAAAGTCCACTGTTTCCCATGTAAATGGTTGGGTCGTCAAAGGTCTGCAGATGACGTCCGGATGGGATTGGACCCGTTAGCTCGTTGAACGACAAGTTCAGCCAGCCCAGAGAATCTAGGTTCGACAAACTTTGGGGAATTGGACCAGAAAGATCATTTTTGGATAAATCCAGAGACTCAAGTTGCTTCAAGTTCCCAATGTTTTCTGGGATTCTTCCACTTAGATGGTTCCTAGATAAATCCAAACCCTGCAATCCAACAAGAGACATTAACTCGACAGGTATTTCCCCACTTAGTTTATTTTTTGAGAGTCCCATGAATCTAACATATCGCACATTGCTTGAGGTGTACTTCAGATTTTCACCTTTGATGAGCACTGATAGTTCTTCACTGTACCCATAAAAAAGCATGCCGTGTGGCATGATATAAACTGGGACCCTAATGTCGGCAACAGAGTCCGATTCTATCGATGTCATTGCTGTAAAGTTGTTGAAACAGCGAGGTATATGTCCAGTTAAGTTATTGTCTTTCAAACTTAAAACTTGAAGGAATGATAGTTTGCAGAGGCACATGGAAATGTCACCATGGAAATTATTAGATTCAAGCACAAGGAACCTCAGACGAGATAGTTCATCCCCAATCCAAGATGGTATAATGCCCTCCAGTCCATTATTTCCAAGATCAAGAAACTGCAAAATTTTCAGATGTCTGAGCGAGAATGGGACCATCCCCGTAAATTTGTTTCGGTCCAAGTGCAAAGACTGGAGAAAATTGAGCTGTCCCAATGAAATTGGAATGTGCCCGTAGAGATTGTTGTTTGCCAGAAGTAGCGCACCCAACGTTTTAAGCTTACCAATGCATGAAGGGATCCCTCCAGAGAGCTGGTTGTTAGAAAGATCCAAGACAGCAAGCATTTGTAAGCTGCACAAAGAATCAGGGATGCTGCCCATGAAGTGGTTATCACTGAGATCTAGTAGTCGAAGAATATCCAATGTCATGTTATTTTTAATGTCGGGCTGTGGAATAATCCCTTGCAGTGAGTTATTTTGGAGATGCAATTCAGAAATGTCTGTTGGTAACAATTGCAAAGGCCCCTCGAATTTGTTGGCCTCCAAAAAAAATCCCACGCGGTATTTATGACCACTGCTGCCTTTGCACACGGGCGGTTTTCCCATCATGTGATTGTTGAAGAAATCCAAATATTTTATTCCATGACACACTCTCTCAAACCAATCTGGGATAGTATCTGAGATGCTTGCATTTGACATGCGCAGATATTCAATTGTTTTCTGAGTTTGAAGCCAGAGAGGAAATTTGGGCCCTATCTTGATGGAACTCATAAATACCCCTTCAAGTTGGAATGGTGGGACCCATGAGGAACTCACATTCAGAGCGAGTAGAGGTAAGGAGGATAATCCTAACACTTTCAGTTTTGCGAGTTTGGCAAAGTGAATGTCACGCAGCTCCCCGCTCAATGGATTGTCAGATAGATCCAAGAATTTTAACTCACTCAACCTCCAAAGAGAGGATGGAATGGTACCATTGAACCCATTCCTACTGAGATCGAGGTCGGTGAGTTCTCGAAGTTGCCCAATCGCACTTGGGATTTTGCCTTCAAAGCTGTTATTTCCCATGTGCAGTACGGAAAGAGAAGTTAGGTTGCCTAGGCCGAGGGGGAGTGGGCCTTGGATTTGGTTATAAGTCAAGTCCATGTAGACAAGATTGTTCAAAGTGAAGAGTGGATCGGGCAGTGAAGTATTGAATTGATTGTAGCTAAGATCGAGGTAGCTTAGTGAAGTCCAATGCTGCAGGTTATTAGGAACCATTGGACCAAAAAAACGGTTGCCACTAAGGTCGAGATGAACCAGTGAAGTTAAATTAAACAACCAGAGAGGGATCGTGGAGTCGAATTCATTGCCTCCGAGATCAAGTGAGGTAAGAGACGTGAAATTAAGGTGTGCAATATGAGGAAAGGAATAAATACCACAAGAGTTTAATGTCAATGAGGTTAAGAAACGAAGCTTGTTAAGTGCTTCTAACCAGTCTCGAGCCTCTCCTAGGTATACCTTAGAGAGATCCAAATGTTTCAAGGAAGAAAGACAAGTGGCCCACCAGAGACTCTTTGTCGACAAAGAATGACGACTTATCCAATAACTAAAACCTTCTGCTTTATTACCAAGGTCAAGATATTCTAAGGCTGAGAGATTTCCTAATTGAGGAGGAATTGTCCCATTGAAACCTGCAGTAGAAAGGTTGAGATATCTCAAATATTTCAAGGATCCTATAAATGCTGGGATCCGAATTCGTGCAAAATAATTCGAGCTTAAATCCAAGTAATGCAAATGCTGCAAATTCACTAACAAAGGACTAACAAGTTTCGCCATAGATAGAGACGTAATTTTGCATGTCCCCAAAGAAAAATCGATCCAAATCAAAAGCAGCATTATTGTGCAGATCAAGTTTCACCACATGCCCAGTGTTCCTGCTGCATCCAACTCCTTTCCATGAGCAACAATCGTCTCCAGTCCAGGATGCCAAGCGATTTGATTTGTCAATTAGATCTTTCTTAAACTCGAGAAGAGATTTTCGCTCGCTCTCGAAACAGCTTAAATTTAAATATGCTCCTGCGTGAAGACCAAGACCAATCTTACCTGCCAAAAAGACAAACCATAGCACAATGAATGAAGTGAATTTGATCATATTGTTACAAGCTAACATACTCGATCTTCAAAGATGATATATATATATTTTTTTTTGCTACTAATCAATGCTTTCACACAATATTCATGAGAAGTTTTGAGTGCGTCGACCAAAAATCAGAAAGCCCCTACTTATAGGTCGAATGTTGCATGACTAATTAATGTTACTGTTGTATGTCACTATTAGTCGTTGTAACGACTTTTTCCACACTTCCAACGAAGTACTTTCTCGTGTTTTTCCTTAGGCTTAAATTTGTCAAAAAAAAAAAAAAAACACTGAAAGGCTTTGAGTCATGTTGGTAGGGCCAGCATTGTCACGTGAACAGACTTTAGTTTGGAGAAATTTGCGGCCTAAGTTAGAATTTTGTGTGAATGCATTGTCACGTGTATTTCAATTAGAAGTTTCGAATTATTTGCGTGTGGTTTTAAATCATTTGAATCTTAGACCTTTTCATTGTCTGGTTTTAAATGACAAAATCAAGTGGAAAAAATTGAAGAATAGATACATCATACATCCTTAGCGTCAAAGATCAAACTTATTAATACTGAAAAACATGAAGAATAGCTTTCTTCCAAACTATGAAAAACATACAAGATAATTACAATACTGAAAATAGCTTAAGTTTAGGATGATAAATAAAATTAAAAACAACTTGGCTTCAAGTTTAAATCTGGCGAATTGTCCTTCCTTTAGCATGTGGGCTGTCTTAGTTTTGAAGATGGACTATAAAAGTTCTTTATACGCAAGATTGAAAATTGGAGTTTCACATTTTGTGCCAGTCTAAGAGTAATTTTATCTTGACAAGCATAGATCTTGACAAGCATATAAAATTATGGAATTCTAAACTCACTAATTTTATATTAAATACAGTTTAAATAAGGTTAAATATTTGTAAATTACTTGGATGTGTACCCATATTTTTTATATATTATATAATAGTAATATTAAATCATTTGTTCATAAATGTTTTTGCAAAGAGAAATAGCACTAGTTTTGTAAAATGCCACTCCACGGGTTCCTTGCTCTTTGACAAAAACTATAACGATTATATGGAGTCTCATTAACAAATTTAGATATACCATTAGCACTTAATAAAATTGAAATTCCTATCTGTGAATCGAGGGATTTGCAATATATAAAGAAATTCCAAATAAATACCAACATGTAATCTAAGTTCAGTTTCTATAAATATTACTAGTGCGCTGCCAAAAATTTAATGAACAAAATGGTTGCTAACTGAGAGACAAATTAGAAAAACACAAATAGTATAAAAAGGAATAACTATTATATTCCCTCCATCCTAAATTGTTTGTCGCATATTTTAAAACTTTACAAGAATAGTAACTTGACGGTGATGTTTGTGGATTTATTTTTTAAATAGCATTGTAAAAAGAGATAAAAAATAATTTGACTTTGGTAAGATGACAAACATTTTGGGATATTCCAAAATGGAATGTATCAAACCTTCAATGGAAGGGTTGAATTTTTTTATTTCTTATATGTTAATTGTCCACATATCTATCAATTCTTTAGTGGTTGAGCCATCTTTTTTTTTCTTTTTTTTGGATGTTTTGTCTTTATATTTTTCAGCGAACCATGCCTTGTTTGGATTATTTTATTTTATTTTTTGCATACTAATGTTAGGGCAGCTCTCCTCTCTCTCTCTCTCTCTCTATTTTCTTTTCCAATTTAGGTTTTCTCCTATATCAATTCATTATAGAGAATTCTTTGTTGTTTTAAAAATTATTTCCTTTTGATTTTCTGGTCCTATTACAAATTTAATAGACGATCACTTCCTCTAATTTTTTTATTACTTCAAGTACATCTTAACAATGCTCAATAAGTATCCATTAGACAGACCTTTCAAAACAAAGTAAATTAATCATGCAGAATATTTCTTTCTTTAGTTAAGCGCAAGAGTGAGAAGCTTCTTAAAGGCAAAATCTTACTGAAAAGCAATTTATAAATCTGAAGATTGAGAAGGGAAAAAACATCATCCATTAGTACTTCAGAGATTGAGCCAAGTCGTTGTTCTATGATGTAACTGATGTTGGTTATTCTTTGAGATTGAGCCAATTTCATGAATGAAGTGACAACTCATAGAAGCAATATTGGCAATTTGGTCCAAACCTATTGGATGGTTCCTCTTATTTTCCATTACACAAGTGTTGAAGATTTTGGACAGATTAGTAGATGGTGATTTATATTTTATTACGTCCATACGTTTTGCTATTTCTAATTAATATTTGGCTACATTGACATTTTCCTACAAAATGTGAATGGATTGGAAATAATTAATATGCTTGAAAAGGATAGAATTAAATGCAGAAAACCTCCATAAACTATTACAAGCAAGTCGTCGTTGGCTATCTAGTTAGATTTAGCCAGGTTTCATGAAGTAACAATTGGGTGAAGCGACGGCTACCAAGCAAGATTGACAATTTGATCCAGGGCACCCAAACCCATTGGGTGGTCCTATTGTGCAAGTGTTGAAGATTGTGAGAAGATTGGTGAATGATGATTCATACTTTATTACGTCCATAAGTTTGCGATTTCTAGTTGATATTTGGCTACATTGACACTTTTCTGTAAATTGTGAATCAACTTGTAATTATTGATCTGCTTGAAAAGGATATGCCTAATGTAGGTGCAATTTTATTCTATAGTTCTTTTATGCCCTAAATGCTTGAAAATATTTAGGCAAGCTTTATTTATGAGTTTACTTTTAAACTATGGGGCATATGCAATACTCAAATAGATTTTCTTATGTCATCATACGTCATTCATCATCGTTTTTTCAGTATTTTCTTACATTTGTACATCTCAATAAATAATATAGATATAAAACCTAAAATCTAAACAGGCTATCACTTGGATAGGAGGCAGTGCGATTGTATTTTCAATTTGGTTTGATACGATTATTATACTTGTTATATTATTTGGTGTACAATAATATTATAGTGTTGTACTCGTGAAAAAGTTGATGTATATAAGAAAAAATATTTCACATATATTCTGTACAATAATTAATGTAATTATGTACTAAAAATCATAACAAATACAAAAGTTAGACAGAACCAGACAATTCCTCACTCAAGAGTGTCCAAAAATGGGCCAAAGAATATTGTTATTCTTTTTACCAGTTTTACTGTCATTTGTTTGTCTCGGTAAGATTTGTATCCAAAAGTTTTCTTGTTACGATTTTGTCGTTTTGAGTTGGCTACACTTTTTAAGTTTTAGAAACAGTTGATTTTATTCTTATTAGGGATCAACAAAGTTACATTTTGCTACTTGTCTTGATTGACTAATTCAGTTTCATATCTGGTTGTTGGAAAGATGTTGCAGAAAAAATCAGGGGTGCTACCATTTCAAGTGGTTATCCCTAAGTTGAAGCGTGTGGAGAGTTGCTTTCGAAACTATTTTATTCATGATTGCTTTTGTTTTGCGTTATGTTTTCTCCATGCAACTTGGCTTCCCGGGATCCAGGCCTTTTCATTCCAGTTCTGTCCAATTATATAATCTGACAATTATTCGGCGTGTGAATTTTGTCACTTAAACCATAAAACTTGTTTGAATTGTTCTTTTGTACGTTAACGTCAAGGAAGTTCCCTCGCATTTTCCATTTTGGGCTTCTTTTTTCCAGACTCTTTTTTTTTTTTTTATCTGCAGATCAACTATGGTTTCCATTCCGCTTTTGGTGGTGTGTGCATAGTCCATAGATTAACTAAACAAACAATTAATAACACACAAAATAAGTAATTGAGGGTGATTACTTGAAAAAAATATATTATGCGTTAAATTACAAGGAGAAAATTCATAAAAAAAGTCTCATATTTATGTATATTTTGAATTTTTTGAGTTTGTTAAATTTTGTATATAAAGTAGAATAACGAGTAGAATAGAAGATCGGTTGCGGCGCCCAATGGGCACCCGTTAAAAAAACTTTTTAATTTTTACTGTGTTAGTAGTTATTTGATAGTAAGAAAACAAAAAAAATTAAAATATAATATTTATAAATGAGAAATAGTAATATAATAAAAAATGGGACCGATATTAAAACAAGAAGTAGGACAAAAGTTCCATTTCGAGAGTAAAGCAAGTAAATTTTTGGACAAAAGTAAAACGATGGTAAAGCAAGTACATTAGATTGTTCGTAAAAGTCCAAAGGCCTATAATTTCTTCTAGCTCTGAAACATTGCTAAAATCCTATAGGGCTAGAATATAAGTAGTTAAACTTTTGTAACACACCCTATTAGATATTAGGTTAATTAAATTTAACTCTCTTGAGGTTTTGCCAAATTATCAATCAATCCTTGAGATTAGGTCAAATTACATTCACCCCTCATAACTAATGTCATCTTTATTTTACCATTAGATTCTGGAGAATGACAAAATAATCCTTTACCCAAATGCGTTGACAACTAGCCAAGTTTCATTGGAAGAACTAGAGAAGAAAATGGGGAGTCAAAGGAAATTAAAAAATGTAACAAAAAAAAGAAGAATTAATAAAGAAAAAAGCTATATGCTTCTTCCGCAAAAATAAAGGAAAGAATAATGCCTTCCCACTTTATATCTTTGGTGGTAAAAGGAAAGAGAAAGAGAAAACAAAACAAATAAAGGAACAAATACATTACCGATGACCTTCTTAATATATTTTCTAGTTCGACTTAATAAAATATTATCGGTTACCAATCAATCTAAAATGTCTCTTAATTTTTTTTTTTTTTGCTCAAAGAATATTTAACTTGCATTTTACATAGATTGATGCTTGGGGTAATCAGAAAAACTCGATCTTAATTTATGATATGATTGCATCAACTAAAGCATTGTAGCTTATCTTTAGAAACTTATCGGAGTTTTTGACCTCAAATGAATCATTCTTCCAATAGTTTTTCCTGTTTGTTCTTCTACTTCTTAATTTTCTCGCGTTATGGCCAAACAAATACGAAAATCATCTAAGGCACTGACCAACGTTAATTACAAGCGAGTTCACTTTTGAAGTAAAAGAAGGAAAAAATATTTATAATTGACATTAATAATTAAAGTTAGGGATTGATTGATGATACCAGAGATCTTGAATTTGAAACCTTTTACTTACATTAAAATATATATATATATATATATATATATATATAATGGAATCACGCTTTTCTTTTTCTTGTTTTGGTGCAAAACAATTCGCAAGCATGCATGTCCTGGTGCATAGTTGTCTCCTCAATTATTGTACGAGGCACGGGAGAAAATGTGCTAGACGATTGGCTGTTAAACGACAGAATTTAATAATTCCAAATGCTGCAGGTGTGAATCCTGGAAGATGGACAATTTGGTCCGAGTTCGATGTTGGATGGCTCCTTTTAATTTTTCAAAAGAAAAATTTCATGACTCTTGAGGCAAGTCGCTGCCCTGTGATGTAACTGATGGTTGGTTATTCTTTGAGTCAAGTCGTTGCCAATTTCAGGAGGTGACAACTCATAGAAGCTATGGCTATCAAGCAAGATTGGAAATTGGTCCAAATTCATTGGGTGATCCTTTTATTTTTTATCATGCAAGTGTTAAAGATTTTGAGAAGATTGGTGGATGGTGATTTATATTTCATTGCATCCATACGTTTGCGATTTTTATTTGATATTTGGCTGCATTGACACTTTCTCACGAAGTGTGAATGGACTTGGAATAATTGATTTGCTTGAAAGGAATAGGGTTAAATGCCGAAAATCTCCACGAATTACTACACTAATTGCGCTTTACAACCTAAAGTACTTTAATAAGCACTTTACACCCTCAGTGAACTTAAAATAACAAGAAAATTAATTTCATCTAAGTAATTGATGAAATGACACCAATTCATCCTTCATCAAAAACTTAAGTGGCAATAATACTGTTTTGGTGGGAAGGATTACTACTTTAAATAGACTA